AGAACCTGGGCTTCTACCAAGACAACATTGTATCACAATGCTCTCATATGACTTCATTTAGCCAATGCTGGAGGCCAACGAATGCCCTCAATAGCATTCAGGGATACCAGAAAGAAGATAACTTGCCAGACTTAGCCTAAAAACTGCACCCTTCAATTTGTTTCAGCTGCAAGACCAGCACTTGCACACAATACCAAATATTCACATAGTCTGTATTTTTGTGCTTGATACCTACGTCCTTTCTTCTTTTTCTTCTTCTTCTTCTTTTTCCCAGTTGCTCCATCTCCTTCACCATCTCCATCTACAGGAAAGAAAGTGCTCAGCTGAACACAAAATAATCTTAAAAGAATCAATGTTTGAATAGAACACAACAATATCTGGACTATCTGGAAACACTTGTCTTACAGCAGAATTTAATGGATTAAAAGACAACATCCAGAAGAGCTGCCACCAAACCATCAGCATTTTCAGTCCCTACACCAAACACAGACCTAAGAAAATAGTTTTGAAAGCTGACAACAAACATATCACCAAACAGAGGAAAAAAGAGAGCTCAGGTAAAGTGTATTTTCAGAAAGTCCTACCTCATATTCCTCTGCTCTCAATTCAGGCAAATAGATGCATGGAATTGTTAAAGGACACTGTATTAGACACAAGAGCTAACAAAAAGCTAGAAACTACTGCTTCCACCCCATCTTCTGATCCTCAGCTACAAGAACTTACTGCATCTGGAAAGGTAAAGACCCCAGAGAAGTAAAGATGCCAGCACTCTAGGCCAGGGTAAATTTAATCTTGAGATAACAGGGAAGGTCACAAACAACAGTCCCAGCAAAAGCAGTGAATGTGTGAGGTACAAGGTGGCCAAACACTGGAACAGCCTTCCCAGAGAGGTGAAGATGCCCCATCCCTGCAAACAGTCAGGGTCAGGCTGAATGGAGCTTTGAGCAACGTGATCTGCCTGAAGATCCCTGCAGGGCCTTGGACCAGAGGACCTTTAAAGGTGCCTCCAACCCATAACATTCTATGAATCCCCACCAGTGGGAGGTTTCCAGGGAGCACAGCAGGTAAGCAACAAGAATCAGCCACATCTGGGAGGTAACAACAACCCTGCAGACTTCACATTTGGCAACACCTAATCCCTACTTACTTCATACCCAGTACTTCAGGTGCCATCAGCTACCTAACCCTTCTGGTGCTAACCACAAATTCTCTTCAAAGTAGACAAGTACTACTCATCTACATACAGAACATTTTCAACTACAGCAAGAAGTAAAATTAAAAGAACTTCTAGAATCAAGTCAGGGCATTCCATTTTGAGTTTATTTATCCAGAAGCTGGCACTTAAAAACCAAACCAAAACAATGACCAGCTGCTCCAGTCACTAGATTTCAAGCCTCTCATGATGGTCAATATAATCAGCAATTCTATGCCATGGTGAGTGCTGTAATTCTGCAGCTGGGGCAAATTTCAGTGGTGTCACTCCTGCCCCTCCCCAGCTCATTTTGGTATTAAGTATTTTAATTTAAATTTCTGTAACAAATTGCAAATATAAATACTTTGTATCTATAACATGGTCCCAGCCTACCAGATTCTTCATCAATCTGCATTTCATAGGCAACCAAAAATCCTTACCAGTGCATATAAATTTCTTTAAAATGTGATAACTTTGTCACATTTGTCCTGACCTTGAGCAATGCCCAAACCATTCATAAAGAAATTAATTAGGCATACTCCAGTTCATTCACCAAGAGATTTCTGGATTATTTTTTCAAAGGCTAGGCCTAAACTGAAGAGAAAAAAAACCCCAGCATTTCTTAAATATTGCTGCTGTTGGTATCTGGGTATTGTAGCTCTTTCATACATCACTGCACGTGAAACTGCCAACTGTGAGCCAAAGCAGCCCTGCCTATGCTTTCATGTCCTTGAAGGCTGCTGCAGACTAACTGTGCTGCCAGGAACAGAACTACTGCATCTACCAACACTGTTTGTCTTCAGCTTACTTAGCTGCTAAGGAAAAAAAATTGTCACCAGAAAAGCAATTTCAGGTCTTTGTGAAACAGAACTCCAATCTTCTATCATTTTGGTACAGCCATTTAATAACTTTGCACAGTATCATGCAAAAATGTTACATATCAGCATATTTTGACATGGCCAGGGAAATCCAAAGAGCACTTGCTAATCTCCCTTAGAGTTCAAAAGTTAGTCTCCTTTTTGAGGCCACCCAGTTACAGGCTTATCAAGAGGAAAAAAATAAAAGGCAAAAGGCAGTAGGTATTTTATTGACTTTGATCTAATGCAGCATGTCTTATATAAACAATTCTGAAACTACACAATTAAGATGGCAAATAGTGACAACCAGTACAGGCAAGAACACAGCTGTCTTCAAAACACTTCAATTAGTTATAATTTTCCTGCAAAAGTATCAGTTTTACTGAAAACATATCCAAGTCTAATATGTGGGAAAAAAGAGAGATTATGAATTCAGTCATAGCATCACTTCATTGTTTTATGCTTTCTAACACTGTAACACAATTACAAATACTGTAAAGAGGCTAGGAGTGCACAGCATTTGATCTGCAACCAGCATTGTTATTTCTCCCAAGACAGAACTCTAACTATTCTTCTCATGATTTCAAAGATTTCTTTCCATTGTATACAGTTTTCACTACCCTCCTCAATACTTCTTCCTAAAGTTGCAATGATGGCAAAGCACATATTGCATTCATTTCAACTCCACAAAACAAGCCATAAGAACAGAATTTTATGCAAGGTACCTGCACTAAACTTGATGCTGCAGATTGGTAATGGTCAAAGATAAATTTGTTACTTAATATCTCAGCACTCTGATTGAATTTTTTAAAACTTCCATTCCCAATTCATTAAAATGACATTCTGGAAGGACAAATTCCAGCAAGTGAACTAAGAAGATTTCTAAGCAGACTGCTCAAAGTGTTGAGCCAACTTTATATGCTAATTCAGAAAAATGAAACTAAATTACCACTTTAAGAAATGTGCTTTCTGAAACATCCATTTCTGTTGAGAACCATCCATCAAACCAAAGGAAATACAGCATCTTAACTGGATCTCCCTACAGAAAACATGGATTTGGTCTGGATTTCAGCAGAGAAACTTTCAAGGTTCTGGCTTAGAAAATCAGCTACACAACACAAGCAACATCCAAAGTGTGTGTCTTGCTTATGTATTAATTTCCCCCCAATTCAATTTTAATGAAAAATTATAATTACAGATGAGCAGGGTTCAAGTCACTGGTAAAGACTGTAAAACCTATTAATTAAAATGCTCCCTTAAAATTTTCTCTGTATGTTTTAAGCCAAGAATATGAGACAATTTGGGACATAAATGTCTACTGGCTGTGGTAATGCAAGTGAAAATGATTTATAGCTTACCTTATCTCAAACTAAACATTCCCCTTCAGCAGGTAGATCCTTGAAAACACAAACTTTAACAAAGCCTGTATTGCTGTTACTTTTATATGTACACCTGTATAACAGCAAAATCATTGACAAAAAGTAGAAACTATAGATAGTTGCACCTCACCTCTCCAAAAACAAACCCAACCAAAATCAAATCAAGACATCTGTAAACAGTCTGTTAAAAGGGAGTCCTGGAAGAAGCTGAAACTGGAAATGTTAAGAGAAAATAGAAGTTATACTTGCCATCATCATCATCATCTTTTTCTTTCTCCTCCAGGGCTTGCTTGTCCAATTGTTTTGCTACATCATCAAGAGCACCTTCCATTTCTTTATCAGTTTCTTGTCCTGTTTGTAAAGTTAAAGTATGACTTACTGTAAAACATTAGCTCCGTGTTAGTAACCAAGAGCCCCCAAAGCTTTATAAAAACATTATGTTGTACTCAGCCCACAGACACCTGAGCACCCAATGCCTTTTTCTGTCTTAAAGCAGCCCCAAAGTGTAAGGCTGTAGAACAGCACAGTGACAGGTGCTGTTAATGAAACCTGCATATAAAGGTAGATTAGCCTGACACTTCTGATTACTTTTTTCTGCCACAGTAACTAATTCTTCTTCCCATAGCAGCAGCCTGCTCTTGTGAGATAATATGGGCGTCAGGTAGATAATTATAAACGCACAGCACGATCATGGCTAACTGATGGCCTGCTAAAACAAACCCAAACCATCGCGCCTTTACGCTATTTGCCCAGACTTGCTCCAGCTCTCCCCGAGAACTTGGGAGGGGTGCAGAGCCTCCATCAGGCGGGATGACTTTTGCAGCGGCAGTCTTACACCTTTCTCCCCTCGGGGCATAGGAGAGGGCGAGGGAAGCGGTGCCTTCTCTTGCGCACACCGGAGCGGGGCGGACGCCCCGGCCGCAGCCGACC